TATATATATATACACAAATGGTATATATGGTACGATCTTGAAGGCGGGATCGTAATTGATTGGTTATCGTATCCACTTGGTATGACCCGGGGTTCGTCCAGAATTGTCCAAGACCATTGTCATTAACTTATTTATTAATGTGAAATATTTTCCAGATGCATTTTATGAATGGTCACCGAATTCCATGGTTCTAGCTCAAGCCGTTTAGGTGCTATTAGAGATTAAAGTTGGCGCGGGCCTAAAAAAAAACAAGTCTGTCTCGATAGGGTTTAAAAATCGGGTATTTCTCCTTTTTGTGATTTCTTCACCAAAAAATAGGAAAAGGTCAAAATGTATAATTCTTGTACGTAATGTATAGTCAGAGGTTCACACAACAATTTGCAAAACAATTGAGCTGGTATCATGTTGAAAATTTCTAAAAAAAAATAGCGAAAAACTGTTTTGGGGACCGCGCGGATTAATCAGACCGGGAAGCTGTACTGTTCATGGTTAAATAGGGTCTGCTTCTTACGGCTGATAAATAGAGTGATACTTAACCACCTTCGTGCACTCCATATATAACATACGTTATATTACAGCATGGTTTTGTAGATAAAGATATATAATTGAATTTGTAAGGAAAAAAGACAAAGAAACGCATCGAAATGGGATAAATAGTGGGGCAAATTGCAATTGAAAATCAATTAAAATTAATTAATTTGTTTCGTTGTAATTTTGCCTAACAAGTTCCTGGTTATTTTTATTTATTTTTTTAAATATAGCCTCCATTAAATATCATGGATGTTGTAATTCTAGTTGCGTTTGTCATTCTGTCTGTCTGTTGGAGAACAAGATAACTCAAGAACAGCTGAATGGATTAAATTTTATACTTGGTGCGTTGGTAGAGTGTCGCGAAAATTGACTACATTTGGTAGTCTAGTGACTTCCTTTCGTACTGCAGGGAAACCGTTTTTTTTATATCTCGTGATCTAAAAATGCAAGATTTTAAATGGTTAATAGCTGTTGTGTCCAGAAAGAAGTCATGTGAGTTAAGGCATCGTAGCAACTTGTTCAGGAACTGCGGGACATTTTTTTTTAATTTCAGAGAGGATAGCTTAAAACAGGTAGACGAATCGTCGTACTTTGTAAATATTTCTATCATGGAACAAAGCGGATTTACGAAATTTACTTGTTAACTTTGCAAAGTAAATCCAAATTACATAATTGTCATTTAATCGAACACTACCAAAACATAACTTTCTGAGCGAAGGTAATGGTATATATAAAGAAAAGGATTCGCCATAACAGCGCTGATCGGCGATACGAACACAAGCTAGATATGATGGTTTAGCATCATCAACTGTCTCCATACAAATGTTACCTGATGTAACTAAATAGATTCAGGAATTTTAGCCTGCGTTTTGGGTAGTTTCGTCCTCTCTTGCTTACAAGGGGCAGATGTATGACAGTAGCAAATCTACTTGATTTCTTACAACATCCTCGGGTGCATGCATAACAGGATCATGCCACATACAGGAAGTCATTTCCCAGACATCTATGATTGCGATATTAAGACCTTTAAAAATTTTCTTGGCTTCCAGCAACAACTGATAAGCATACCAATCACTGTTTTCTACAAAATGGAACCACCGATGATGATCGCGGGTGTTACTTGTCCGCCAAATTACTTTTGTGTCTGGATAACGACTATGTAGTCGCTCTATTGCGTAGCGAATTCCGTAAAGTCGTGAACGGAATGTTTCAATATGCTCGGCAGTATAGTGACCCCATAACCCTAAAACTAGCACAGCATTAGGCCCTCCCTTAATCCCGTCTATCCGTTCTGCTAGATAGTGATGCATCTTAAATTGTAAGTTTATTTGGTCATTGTTTCTTGGAAAATGGTGAAATGTAAATTCTAATGTTGTATTGTATATGCCGTACACTGCAGCTGCGTGATATGCAGCTCGGCCGGTTTGAGGTAATTTAGGAAGATTCATTAGAAATTTCCACCATTGTCGAATCGTAGAATCACCAAAAAAGAGCACTGATTTATTCTGCAGGCATCCGAACACAGATCGTACTGAGGGAAACTTTCGTGATTGACATTTAAGTGAATACCACGTTCCGTTAAACCAGTACCCTTCAGACGGTGTTTCTGGCAGTCCTGGAGCACAGAGTGGCAGTGGTTTTCCATTAGTTCTGTTGGAAACTCCTGGAGAAACGATATACAATTTAAACGAGATTAGGTATCGTATTTTATTTGTATTGTCAATCTATTTTTATTAATGAAGCATATTCGTTATCTTTTTTTAATTATTAAAGATAAATAAATGCAACATCAACGATAATGCAACATAAACAATAGTTCCGATACCTCATACATCTCGGAAATATGGGCTTGATATTTAAATGTAAATTGCTTCCTCAATTTTGCAAATGACCTCTACATTAACATAATAGATGCATCATGTTTTTAACTTTTCATTAACTTACACATGTCCTAAGTATCGAATTGCCTGCAGTTACCACTAAGGACTCATAGAAGTTTTTTATGCAAAGTTTTTTCAGTATTTGTATAATTGGCATCTGTTGATATGCCACCTGCAATAGATTATAAACATTACATGTATCAAAGTCCCAAGGTGTAAAGCACTGGAATTACAGCATTTCCACATTAATTATGCATATGAAGCCATAATTTGCATCCAACAGATCTTTGTCTAAGCTAATCACATACAAAAAATCATAAAAATACATTTCTCCTATGTGAATTTATCTGCTCTAAAAACTTTCACCTGAAACCCCTCCCCCTGTAGTTCCAAAACAACCTGCTAGAGACACCTAACCCACAACTCTTATTACTGAGAAGAAATATATGCGCTACTTAAAAATCAAACCAAAGCATGTCCAGAACAAAAAAACACAAACCCGGAAGTTCTGCTGCAGTACCTATGTCAGCAGCCAGGAAGCCCAAAATCGACATTCACCTTTGGCTACCCAACATATTTTTACATAGCAAATATCATTACAATCCATTCAAGGGTTAAAAAGTTATGCTGGCCGCAAATGTCCGGAAAAAAACGCACAGACAAACAAACAGACACACAATAATACCCAGTTTTTATGGCGGTAACAATACTTGAAATTGGTTTGCGTGTTCATAAACTGTTAATAGCCTAGCAATCGAAGACTACAATTAAAAAAAAGTACTGCCCCCATTTTGACAGTTTAATAGATCAATGAACGAAGGATAGTTCTGCGTCATTCTAACTGGAATATCGGATTAAAGATATCATACATATGAAATTCATTCTCAAGGCGCTTTAACGGGTTTTTTCTAACAAGCAACTAGGCTCAAGTGTCAAAAACCATTTGCAAAATGCATTATAACAAAATTGAGATCGGACAGTTTTCATTTTAATTTACGTTAAATGAGTTTATATATTTATAGATGCTAGTCGTTATACCAGCAATCTTGAGTTTATCAATCCTTTTTACGAAACTACAAAGTAGTGATGAAATTTTAGAGAACAATGGTTACATCTTAGCAAATAACATGGCCTGTTTAACCCTCAAATACCCGAACTTTTTTTAAGACGGAAATGACCGGACGCGGTACAAATGGACCCCATTTGGTTTCATTCTAGTCTGTATTCCCTTTTACATTCTTTCAGTGATCTATTGCACATATAGTGGGGGATAGAATTTGCTCATTGTGCAATTCAATAGAGAAATAAGCTAGACAGAGAAATAGAGAATAAGCTTCACTTCATATTTTATTGCCCTTTTTATGACAATCCTCGCCAAACACTATTTGAGAAAATCTACTTAAAGAAACCCAATATCATCTGGGAAAGAGATGAAACAAAACTTAACTGGTTATTTAATAAGTGTGTTTTTGAAACTGAATTATTTATCTATCAAGCTTGGAAAAAACGCAAAACCCTCGTTTATTCAAAAATTTCTCCCTGTTTTCTCTTTCCTGGACTCCTTCACATATTTTAGTCCATTTGACCTCATAAACTTATGAGTTGCATTTATGGTTTTTTGACAATTTGAGTTCAATTTGTGCCCTTTGATCTCTTATATACTGATTATGTTAAGTGAAAACTTTGTTTCAAGTTCTGAAACTTCATTTGATGTTTCAAGCCTGACCTTTTGATTCGGACTTGAATTTATCTTGACCCTACCTAGACCGGGGGGGGGGGCTAAAAGTGCCCGCGGCAACTTTGATGTCACCTAGCGTCTGAACGGCTAGCCGTAGAACGGCCAAACGTGGTGACTTTTCCTAAAATATTGTTGGCAACAATTCTGTATGATTGGAACAAGATAATAATTTTTGTGTTGCCATGGCAACGGGTTTCTGACAGGCATTTTTTGCTAAATTTAGTACTTTTTGTTTCAACAATAGAGTTTTATGTCAAGTTACTCATGGTTTCTAATATTAATAACATCCCATATAATTTTATGTAAATTTTATCATTAAACATGCATAATTTATGCTAATTTGATGACGTCATTGGCCAAAATCCAAGATGGCGGACCATATCATTAGAACAGGTATATACACGTTATTTCCATTAAAATTTCATCAATACTTCCATTTGTTTTTCCAAAAAAGGTTTAAATGAAGGTCTTTAGTATGTTACAATGCATTTTAGGCTTTATCATGACAAAAAACTATTTTTGAAAATTCAAGATTGATGATCCAAGATGGCGGATATCTTAAATATGGATGACGTCATTGTATGACGTCACCGGTGTTGCTATGGGCAACATAAGACTTAGTACACCATACTATTCTGTCATAAACACTTTTGGTACAGTTATGTTGAATACCATTTAGTTTTCAGGGAAAAACCTATTTAGACGGTTTTGGCCAATAAAATCACATTAATGACGTCATAATGACGTCATATGACGTCATAACGACATAAAAATTGTAGATATGATAAATCTTCACTAGTATACCATTTTCTGAAAATTTGGTGGTCATACGATATACCGTTCGCGAGTTCTTAGGGGGGTCAAAAGAGCCACCCCCCGGTCCCCCCATGTCAAAAAAGCCCGGTCTAGGTTGGGTTAATATAATTTCTGTTTCTATGTTTATATTCATGTTTATGTTTAAGTCACGTTAATAAACATTCATTCATTCATTCATTCATTCATTCATTTATTAATTTATTTATTCATTCATTCATTCATATATTGGTTAAATATAGAGGTATTTTTTGACATTGTTAAATGTAAAAAGTCCAGTTCATTATCATAATTTATGCAAAAAAGGACGAGGAACAGGCATTAACATTTTGTTGACCTTTGACCTCAATTGATTGTCAAAGGTCATGACAACTGAAAACCTGATGACCTAATTCCTGAGGTTGAGGTACTTGGCCAACTGCATAATATCACCTATCTAGACGGG